GTGCCGGGCGCCGGGGCTCCGGCGGGCAGCGGCGGCGGGGCAGGGACGGGCCCCGCGGGGCGGTGCGGTGCCGTGCGGAGCAGTGCGGACCGCTGCTGTCCGGAGAGACCTCGGTGCGAGCCGAGCAGAGCGCGGTGCGGAGCGCTGAGCGGAGCGCGGTACAGAGCGGCGCGCTGCGGCACCGTGCGGAGCGGAGCGGTGCAGAGAGGCGCAGTACGTGAGGAGAGGCGCAGTACGGTGAGGACCGGAGCGCGGCGCGGAGCGGAGCTCCCCACCTGCCTAAGCAGAGCCGCTGCCGCCGGCCCCCCGGCCCCGTTATATAGCGGCGGAGCCCCGCGGGAGCATGCTCAGACGGCAGCGCTCTCGGGCCGCAGCGGAGCCCACTCGCGGCCGGCCGGGCTCTCCCCTCCTCTCCTCTCCGCATGACGTGTCCCGCACCGCCGCCCCCGCCCGCCGCGTCCCCTCGGAGCGGGGGTGCCGGGTACAGCCCGGGGCGGGGCAGCCATCGCTCCATCCCGTCGCCCATTCCGCCTCCTCTCCTCTTAACCCCCAGGACATCCCTCTCCTGCCCCGCGGCACCCAAGTGGAGCTTCAGGCGGGTCCCGCACTGCCACAGCGGTACTTCGGCTTTCTGCCTTTCACCGCGATGCTTTTTTTATCAATACCCTGATTTCTGTGGCTATGAAAGAGTACCGACAGTCCCGTCACATCAGCTGTCAGCCGATCGCTACCCGTCAGAGTAACAAACCCATGGTTAAAGGAAGCTCCAAGGCAAGCCCAAATCTGAAAACCCTAATGTTACAGTGACCCAGATATAAGCTGCAGAGATCACAAGGAATGGACCCAGACAAGAACCATCAGCATCAGAGGATTAAGCAGGACTCTGGGATCTTGTTCCCAAGCCTGCCAAGTCTCGTCTAACGAAGCTTAAATACCTCCTTCAGTGTGACTCCATCTTTTTTCCATTTAGTAGGGATCCTAAAATTTTCCATTCCCCTGTGGGCTCTCTGGTGCTTATTTGATATGATGCCGAATCAGATCCTCAGACAGAAAATGGCACACACATATTACTGAGCTGAAACAAAAGCTTGCAAATTAGTGACGGCTGGAACCACGCTTTAAAGCTGTGTGTGCCAAGCACTCTCAGTGATAGAAAAACCCCACAGTTTAAGAAAAACTTATGATAGGAATAGGAAAGGAGCTAGAGGGAGGAGGAGTAGAAAAGCATGAGGGAGGAAGAGCCTGAAATGGTTAGTCTGTCCCCTCTTCAGGGCTCATGTTAGATGATTCCCATAAAGACACTCTCCAGTGTAGCTTCACCCACTCGAGGATATTTTTGAAGCTTGGTTAGGAACCAGGAAGGAAGCGGAGGCTTAGCAACATTGTCAGGAATTCTGCTCTGTGATGCTAAGGGGACAAGGACGATGCGCTCAGGGCCCCGCGGTGTGCCAGGCAGGCAGGCAGGCAGGCCCGCATGCTCAGCGTGCACATGCGGCACTGCAGAGGCACCCAGGGCACTGCCAGCACTGACTGCCAATTAGCCCACCGTGGAATCTACACTCACCCCAGCAGCTCTGGGTCTGAGCCCAAGCTGGGGCACCTGCAGCCAGTGCGAGTTTGCTGTGTTTTGCCATAAAACACATTCTTTGTGCAGAGGAGGACAAATGCTCTGAAAAAATCCCAGAAGCTTACATAGGCAATACACATCCTGTACCACAGTCCAGCACACAGAAATGGCCATGGTTTTGTGAGCTTACCATCAGAAACTCTCAGCCTTGTCTTTGGGTAACTCTTAGGATTGGTCCCTCCTCCTTTCAAATTGCCTCAGCAGTGGCAATGTTTCAGGACCTGCACTGGAAAGAAACCATTTTAATTACAGCCCTGTCTCAAAGGGGATAAAATGGAACAAGAACACAGTTTTAGGAGAGTGGGAACCAGAGGCACTTGCTAGTGTCTTTCCAGAAGGCTGGCCGGTTTGCTCCTTGCCAGTGCAAAAGCAACATGAAGAGCGTTGGCTTTATGAAACCCCTGGCTGCAATCTCTTGGCTTCTTGGCTCCCCAAGGCACCTTTAGGGCCAGGGTCTGTTTGAAGCCTTTTTGTTGGGAGAAACTATTAGCTTAATAAGGGAACAATTTTATGTTTGGTCAGATTGAATCATTCCAGCTTGCAGAAGGCTCTGTTTTTTACCGTTTATTTTAGTGGCTAAATTTAGCCCATACATCTCTTCTGCAGTGTAACAACTTTCTCTCCAAAAACTCCATTTACATACAACCACTTGAATTCCTGACAACTTGATTCTACAGCACAGCCAAGGCCAAACTCTGCCTCCTCGGTACAGCCCTCTAAGACAAGCCTGATGACCAGCTTGGAGGATTTTTGAGGCTGGGCTTGCCTCTCATGCAGAAACAAGAAGGCATAGGAGCCTTGTTCTGGCAGTGCAGAAAGACATCACACATTTATTCAAAGCAAGGTAAATTTAATCTACTCTAGCACAAAAGTATCCAAGGTTCTGTCAAAAAAAGGTTGGTTGACTTGATGTCTGAACTTCAACACACATCCCAGCACAAACTGCCTGTCTGGTTTCCTACAGAAAGTTCAGTATGGAGGCAAACTCAGATATATTTAATACCCTCACAAATATGATTATAAAATGCTTTGGGAAATTTCAATGCTGAGTTGGAGCAAGATCACCATGGTAATAACTGAGAGGCCTTGAAGATATTATTTGAGAAAATTTAGAAAATATATCCTGTGACATAATCCCCAGAGTTAGATCTCCAAGGTGCTAACATAAAAAAAAAAATATTTACTCAAGTAGTTTAAATAATGGCCTTAAGTTCACTTTCTCCCAGCATTATTTAATGAAAGGAAATGAAATCTTGTGATTTCAATGAGTAACATTTCAGCAAGTTTCTGTCCATTTCACTGCACTTCATGTCAACTCATTCAATTTGTTTTCATTTCATTTCAGATATTCCTTTTTTTTTTTTTTTTTTGACTGCATTTCATTTTATTGTAATTTCTCTCCCATGCATTCAGCTCACTTTGCTCCCTGATATGGAGAATTCAATGGGTATAATTTAGAAAACTTTTGGAACTTTTCAGTGCAATTTATGTAATCCCATCCCTTTTAAAATTTTCACTTCATTTCAGAATTTCCAGGTTTTCTTTTTATTGTTTTTCATTTCACCGTACCTCCAGTCCCATGTGTTTGGTTACCTTCCTTCTATGGTTTGGAGCTGTCATTTCCTTTCATGAAATGAAAATTCTTCATGAACTCAAGAATTTTCATTTAGTGAAAGGAAATGTCATCGCACGAGTTCAATGAGTTCATTTTGGCACATTCCAATCCATTTCACTGGCTGGGCACTTCAGCCTCAGAAAATGCTGATTTTGCCGCTCTGCTCAGGGTTAGGGTTGAGAAAACCCTGGCCCTAACAAAGCCCAGAGCTCCAGGGACACTGCGACTGCAAAAGGCATTCCAAGTGGAGCACAGCTATACCCCAGCTCTGCTCCCTCCACACCTTGCTCCTTGCTACCACCCACCTGCTGTGCACCTGAGCAAATTCCATCATCATTCTTTTTCTGTCTCTGTGGTTCACTTCGTTCCTTGCTTTTGAGATTTCAATGTGTGTCATTTTGGCAAGTTTCAAAACTTTTCACTGTACCTCATGTCATCTCATTCCATTTAAATATTTTCACTTTCAGAATTTTCTAGTATTTTTTCATTTCATCATAATTCATCTCCTTTGTGTTCTGCTCATTTTGTTCCCTGATTTCAAGATTTCATTTCCTTCCATGAAGTCACATTGTATGCCAGCACGCTGCACAGTCACAGTATGGAGCCTTTATCAGAGCTAGGAACATTTTATATTCATATTTGGGGCCTTGTGTGGTTAAATCACCAGTTTTATAGGAGGAGACACAATTACTGCTCCTGAAACAGCATGGAAATTACCAGCATGGAAATTGTCATCTGATTATTCATTTAAAAATGTGATTATTGGAAACACACACACAGCATTTGCTGGCTATCAGATCTCATGCCATAGAAGGGAAAGGAACGATTAAAAAGAGGATGTAGGGATGGATAAAAAGGGATGGATATCCACCTCTTCCTGTAGGATAAGAAACTTTTTGAAGGCCCAGAGCCTTTACAGAAACCACCTGTAGCTGGGCAGTCACGGTGAACACCACAGTTTACATCCCAAAACAGAGCAATTACTTCACTGTCTGTCAGAGCAGATGGGGTCCCTTGAGAGGCAGCAGGATAAGCTGCTCCCCACCAAGATCCCTTAATCCATGGAAGTTTCAAATATCCTCCCAAAACACACTCAAGAGTAAAAGCTGCTTCTTGCTGTCCTGGCAGGTGGCATTTCCAGCCACCACACAGTGCCTCACTGTGTACATCTCCATTCAGCATCCTGGTCTGGGTACTCATTTCTATCAGGAAAGAGGAAGGAGCTGCTGTTCTCTCTCCACTAGAATTCGTACCTTGGAATGACCATTTTTAAAATAGCAATAAAAACATTCAGCCAACTGTAACCTAAAAGATACTCCTTACAAACTGGAGATGACACACCAATAAACAGGCAGCAAATACAGACTACCTCTGAAAGCAGAAGTCTTAGTGTCTCTTTCTCTGAATGCACATCTGATTCAAATTCCCAAGTGTACCTTTCTGATGGGGGAACCCAAGGTACCCGACAAGACCCAGCTGAAACCCACTGTTACACTTCTGCCTGGAGAAAAACAAACTGTTGTTTCTTTCCAGCTATCATAACAAAACT